GGGGGCGGGGGGGCGCCGGACGTCCTGACGGAGCTGCTGCTCAGCGGGAGCCCGGACCCCGCGCTGTTCCCGGCCTGCTCGGACCTCACGACGCTGCCCGCCCTCACCCGCGAGCTCGCGGGGTGGCCGGATCCGCTATTACATCTCATCCAGGCCACCCTGACCGCGGCCTCCCCGGGCGAGCTCACCGAGGCCCCGCGGGAGCGCCTCAAGCGCCTCGCCTTCGACGTCGAGGCCCTGCAGCTCGAGCAGGAGCGCGCGGTCACCGACGGGGATATGCAGCGCTCCGAGGAGATTTACTACCAGCAGACGACGCTGCTGAACTCGATGGTGCCGATCTTCGGGGCGATGGAAAAGGTCCTCGAGGCGTGCCGGAACGACGGCGTTGCGAGGCCGCTGGAGCGGCTCTCGGCGCTTCGCGCCGACTTCCTCAGCCGTCAGCAGGCCTGTCTTCGCCGTGAGGAGGACGCCCTCTATCGCGTCCGCGGCGACCGCGAGAGGCTGAACTTCCACCAGCGAAAGCTCCTGGCGGTTCGGGCGGGGCAAGAGAAGGGGCTTGAAAACTACTTCGAAGAATGGGAGACGCTCTACAACACAAGCGTCTCGGAGCAGCTGGGGTGCCTGCGGATGATGGAGCAACTTGAGCGGCGGATGCGCGAACTGGGCAAGGAGCAGCAGTTCTTAGTCCAGGATCGTCTGCTCAGACTGAAGGAGGAATACCAACGCCGCGAGGACGCCGCCGCGTTCGAATGCTTCGCCGCCGAGCACGGCGCGGTCCTGACGGCCGCGGAGGGTGCGCTCTCGAAGCTGGTGGAGAATATCAAAATATACACGACAGAAATCCAGCGCGGGTATGAGCACCTCGAGTCCTATATTGCCAATGATGTAGCGAAGGAGATCGATGTGGAGCTTCTGAATGTGCACAAAAGCCGCCTGGAGCAATTCCGCGAGCTCTACACGACGCTTGGGGACTTGCAGTTCAAGAAAGCCCGGCACCTGGAGGAGGTGGAAAAGAAGATCTCCAACTACGAGATGTACCAAGAGGTCGCGATGGATACTCTCAACCCCAAGGCGAAGGTCTACAGTCAGGCAAGGAAAAGCTGGAAGTCGGTGCACAATGAAGTTCAGCAGCAGCTGGAGGTGCTGAATCGCCAATGCGAGGCTGAAATATCGTCTTTCAAGCGTACGGAACAGGCTTTGCTGATGGCCGGTGTGAACTTTATCAGCCCTGTTGAGGAGGTCACCATGCGGAATCAGAAGCGACAACAAAAACTACTGGAGTACCGTCAGCTCATGGAGAGCGAAATGGAAAAGCAAACCATCTCGGAGAATGAAAAGGCGCAAAACAGCATCTCCATTAGTACCACCACAAAGAACAGCTCTAAAGGACATGAACTTCGTATAAACGATCCCAAGAAAGCTCGTGAGAACATCTCGTCGCCGAAGTCCGATTCAAGCCTGGGGACCTCCTCACCTAAAAGCCGGCGATTGCCCTTTTTGTTTTCCCTTAAAGGGAAATCTTCCAAGTCAAAGAAGGAGGTGGAGCTTTTGGAGACGCCTCGGCCGCCTTCGCACCAGTCGGAGTCTATGGGTACGCCGTGCGGGGAGAGCTCCATCCTCTCCCAGCATCCATACTCGATGGAGAATAAAACCGAATGCCGCTCCCCCATTTCAAATGGGAAGAAATGATGGAGAAACTTAGGCCTCCCCCCCTTTCCCCTCCAGAAGAATGCTTCTTTTCATTTTACTTTGTCTGTTCTTGTAGATGATAGTTGAAGCATGCTTACGTAAATGTTTTGAGCGCTTTTTAGTCATATTCATCACTTTTATTCAGCAGGTCGTGTTTTCTTTGCCTTTTCTCACGTTATTTTTTCTCCATACATTTTTGTTGATTATTCTTTTCCATGTTTTTTTCTACTGTAGATATGATGCTACTTTTACCGCAGTCGTATTTATCATCGATTAATACGACAGTGTCGAAAACATGAGAGGTGCGACTGTCGTTAAAACATCTTGAATGCTGAACAGAAGAATTATAAATATATATATTATCATGTATAGTTATATCTTGCTGTAATCCCGTACTTTATTTTGTATTCAAAAAGTAAAATGAATGAATTTGTTAATGTAAGCAAAGTTAGAGAAAAGAAGGTGTAGATTATTTACAACCTAGAGACGCTGTTGGAGCAACCAGCAACGTTTTAACTTGATACTGCATGGTGCTCGATCAATCTTTTAACTTTACCTTTTTACTGTAATTCCAATGTATTTTCCTTCAGCCTAAGTATCGCACATCCTACTTACACAGTCGCTGCACCCCAAAGGGCAGCCCGATCATGACTTGCTCGATTAAACGGCTCTCGAAGGAGTATCATTTCCTTCAGAACCCTGTCAATCGTGTCTGCGAGGTCTACGCGGCCCCACTTCAGGATAACATTTTTGTTTGGCATTTTACTATTAAAGGGCCAGACAACGACGAGCTGGGCTACTCGGAAGGTCTTTACCACGGGGCTTTGCTATTCCCTCGCACCTATCCCTTTGCGCCCCCTGATATTCAATTTTTTACCCCCAGTGGACGCTTTGAAACGCACACGAAAATTTGCTCAACTATCAGCAGCTACCATCCTGAGCGATGGCAGCCGACGATCGACGTGAGCACCATCCTCATCGCCCTGCGGATGTTCATGGAGCAAGAGGGAGATATTGGCAGTGGCGGCATCAACAGTTCGAATTACTCCCGCCATGATAAGCAAAAGATGGCGAAAAAAAGTAGGGACTACATTTGTAGTGAATGCGGGTGTAGTTCGCAGGAAATTTGGGAAAAAGAGATGAGCCTGTATCCCAGGATCGCCGTGGAAAAAAAAACCTCCGTGGAGGGAATTTCTTCTCAGTCGCCTTCCGGGGTAGCGGTGGCATCAAATACCAAGGAGGAATCTGAAGTTGTGAATGCGATTTCTCCAACGCAGGGATTAGAAGATTCAGAAAAGGATCCACCACCCGGCAATGATAACTTTATCAGAAGTAGAGATGGAAGTAGGGAAACATCTGTAGATGCTGACAAAACGGTAGAAAAGGACGAGAAGGAGGTTGAAAACCTAGTTGATTGCTCACCAGACACCCTTATTCATTCTGTAGAAGTTGTGACCGATGCGGAAGCCACTCCCCACCTGACAGAGCCCGCAAAGATGGAAGAAACGCTAGGTTGCTCAGATGACAATGAGAAGGTCAATTTACCAGTGGCTAATGTAACTGAGAATTCGAACACTGAAGGAAGGCGATCTGAAATGCAGGAGAGCGCTCCTTCATTCCCCTCCGATGTGGAGGCAGAGGAGAACTTACCCACCATGCCCGAAAGCGTGGATGCAGATTCTTCCATTCAGCTTGTTATGAAGCAAGGTCCTGTTGTGGAGGATGCTGGAGTAGATTGCCTCGTTAAGGATGAGCATTCCAAGAAAGCCATGCCGACCTCTGAAGGCACTGAGGGTGGTGCAAACTGTATGAACTATGGTACTAATCATAACAATAGGGCTGCAATGCGAGGGGTTGACAATGATATGTCAGCAGATAAATTTGATCTGGAATGTGAAGAGCGTCCGGCGTTAGGAGCTGCATGCTGTGCAGCTGGAACCACCACCTCTAACGTGGAGTCCGATGAAAGCAAAAACACATCTGGAGAGAATGGACAAAAAAACAATCAGCAAGAGGGAGAGACCACAAAAAAGGAAGAACTTCCCAAGCCGCAGCCGAGCCTGGAGGTGGAAATCGCCTCCTTGTCGATAAGGATTTCTATTCGATCTCTGGATTGGCTGATAAACATTTGTGCAATTATAGTGGGCCTTTTCTGGTTACACCGCCTGTCTGTAATCCTTTTTCGCTATTACTTCAGCGGCATTAATGTGAGAAGCGCATAAGCGGATATATTCTGTGGAGAAGGCGCATCGACTAGAGGTCATGCTCTGCCCGTTGGAAGTCCATAAAAGTAAAACAGACAGACTCTAAGATGGATGCGGTGTCAGTGGTACGAGAAAGTAAATCTATTTGTTCCAGGAAGCATGTGTATATTTTGCATGTACCACCTGTCATTTTGTTCAATTCCTTTTTTTCATTTTGATCTCACAATTATCAATTGTGAAAGGTTAAATCAATTCATATTGACCTTTTATTATATCTTGTATCTCTTTTTTTCTTTTTTGAATGTGCTTTATCTATCATGCACGTTTGTGCACCAGATGGATCATTTTCGTGTTGCTACATCAGTATTTTATTTTCATCCCAACACCTTGTTTCAGAACATAGAGGATGGGACGAGCGCCAAGTCTCGATGACTGCGTTGTCACAGACGATAACCCCAACAAACCCATCCTACCTTCCTTTCCCCCCCCCACTTCTCCTTTGCATGCCAATTTATCCTCTTCCTCGTATTATTTCATTTTGTTCTGTTCTGTCTTAGTGCCTGTGTCTGTATCAGTTGTGACAGTGCCAGTGTAGTATTAGCAGCGATCGTAGTCCAAGTGCACACCCCGCCTGTGATGTCATTGCTGCCGGTCAAACCAAAGCGGCGCGCGGCCGTGGACGAGGCCGTGGAATTCATCCGCATCGCGCGCACCCGTGCCTATCCCCACATCAGCCGCATTCTCGCCCGCGAGACGGCTGAGGTGACGCGCCGGGCTGCGGCCGTCGGCGAGACCCTCCCGGCCCTTCGCAGCGGCCCCGTCCTCGAGGCTTTCGAGGCCGTCCGGTCAGCCCGCCGCGGGGCCGCCGACGACTCGCGGCGCCGCCTGGCCCACCTCGCGCGTGCGGCTGAAGCGGCGCGGCATGTGCGGGAGGCGGCGGCGGATTGGACTGCGGGCCGCGAGGGGATCGCTCGCGGCTAACTCGCGGAGCTTCGCGGGATGGTCGAGGGCCTGGAGGAGCGCCGCCGGCGTGCCGAGGCGTGGACCATGAACGGCGAGCGAGAGCGCGTCCTCGGCGAGATCGCGCAGTTTCAGAAGAAGCGGGACCGGCTCGCCGAGGACACCGCGGTAAGCCAGGAGAAGGAGATGGAGAGGCGAGAGGAGGGGCTACGACAGCTGAAAAAGGGCTTTGAGTCCTGCCTGGAGGAGGTGCGGGATGTGATCGGGTGGTACGCGCTGCAGCCGAAGTGCGGCTCAGAGGCCTCGGGTCAGCGTATCCAGCAACTGCGGGAGATTCTCGGGGAGCCCTTGAAGAAATTTTCAGCCATCCAAAAGGATCTTCGATGCAACACCAAGGTGGAGCTCTCCGACGACTTCCTCCACTTTCCGGCCTCTAAAGAAAATGATGCGTCCAGCAACTCTGATGACGACGATGAAACCCGAGAGCTGATCAAAATGGGGCGAAAGATTCAAAGTAAGCTGCTGAAACACATTCAAGAGCGTCCACTATGGTTGAAGGAAGAAAAAAAGCGCTTTCGTAAGGAGAGAAAGGCCGCGTGCCTATTCACTGTCTGCATTCCCACGGACGTTAAGAAAGGACAGGATGGAAAGTTGGGATCTGAAAAAAGCTTTTCCGTGTCGCGTCGGCCTAACATTCCTAGCTCGACCCAAACAAGAAGAACGCGGCGCGCCCAAGATCACCACCAAAACGAAGCATCCAGAAACCCATGTGGTAGCGATAAATGCGAGGAGGATGCCGCTAAAAGGAAAAGTGATGCGTGCGAAGACGATAGAGATGGGGGTAACACTGTCAAACCGAGAAGGAGTGTTTCTACGGAGGGAGGGAAGGGGACCGCTGCCACACCACTGCATGCGGCTGACAATGCGCAGGCCTCTGCAGATCGACTTGAATTAGCCCCTTTCACAAGCAGCGATCCTGGGGATAGCAAAGCCGACAGGTCCGTGAAAAGGGATCGCCTTTTATCAAACATCCATATTGGGGGAAAACGTCGGAGCTCCTGTTCGTTTGGCGAGGAATTCGTCTTGCCCTCGGTTAGTACGATGAACGCTGCCATCACAAAGGAGGCAGGGTGGCTGCCTTCCGTTGACACGATGAATACGCCACGGCATTCGTCATCCTCACATCGAAGCAAATCATCGCATGAAACGACGGACGGCCTCCGAAGAGGTGTAGACAAGGATCTCCCGCTGCGAGAGCCATCCGTGTCCATAAAAGAGATCTCCAGCCCCTCTTCCCTGCAGATGAGTTCTTTATGCAAAACTCGAAGCGCCACCTTCACGCCGGGGCGGTTCCCTTCGTCTACTGACAAAGTAAGTGAATGCAATAACAACAACACCGCGCCCGTAGCGAGCACCAGTGGTGCGAGGTCACACATTCCTATCGTGGAACTTTCAGCATCAACGGGGGCGCTCACATCTGATCCCACCACGGCCGCCGATCATACCCAAAGCCCCAATCGTTTAGCCGGTTTGTGCGCGGGTAATTCGGAGCCGTCCCCTTCCATCTCGAGCGATCCAGTCGTCCAGCTAGCTGACGATCTTATGGCGGACTATTTGGAGGCAAACGCGGTGATAGCAAAGACGGCAGAATACAATGCTGAATTGCTTCAACAGCTCCACACCCTGCGGAAAGAAGTCTCCAGGGTGATGAGGGATAACATTCGAATTGAGAACGACAAATTGTTCTTTCTCGACCGTCTTGGCAATGCCAAAGGGAATAATGAAAGGGAAGCGCTTCCACCGCATCTTCGACTTGCTAAGACATCAAAACTGAATGAGGAAAAAGACAACGGGAAATCGCAAGGACAGCTGTCAGTTTCGCACCCGCAATGCCCTCCTGCTCCGACGCTTGCGATGTCGCTGACGATGACATCGGTTCCGCCTGTCGCGCGAAGCATGGAAATGGATAACGATATGTGTAATGCCCTGAACGCGTTGCTGGATCAGCATCAGCTTTATCAGAAAAAGTTAAACGGGACGCGCAGTCGCATCTCTGAGATGCAACAAAATATTCTAGAGAGAGACGGATTGCTCAATACAATCTTCAGTTATTGGGATAAAAATGCTGCTGTTCTCAAATTGAAACTCAATGCTAATTGTGATCAAAATTCGGATGCTATGCAAGCGAATATGCCACCGTCGGAGGGTTCTTTTCACGAATATTATCAGCGCGATTTAGCCAGAGAAGGACAATCAAACATCGAATATCATGACCACCACCACCCCCCTGTAACGAAGAGGCCACTGGATCTTCAAATGATTTCCATGTCTGAAAATTCACAGTCATCTGCTGTGATTCCGGCACCATCAGATGCAAGGCTGAGGGCGAGTAACACCCATCACGGCACTGCAACGCTTCTTTCGACTGGAATCCCCACAAGCATCAAAGAGGAGCGAAAGGAGACTTCCCTGATCAAAGGCAGTTTTTTAAAACCAGGTGAAGACAAAAGCGACGCTAAAAGGGTAGTCCTCACTAACCCCACTACCACTTCTGAGGCCCCTGTTACAGACGTCCTGAATACCATGGATAGGTTGAAGATCGACGACAACATGACACTTTTGCAGGGTAGTGCTATTATTCAGGTGCCACAGTTACATCAATCGAATATTATGGGACAAAATTCTGAAAAGATAGGATATTTTGACCGATCTGGAACGAGCCATATGGAAGGATCGGAATTCATCCAGCTCCTAGTTCTTAAACAAATGTCGTATCCGTCAGATACGTTCACACTCCACCGCGGGGACGCTATCGCCGATTTTATCTGTAACCTCTTCAAGGGCGTTTAACTGTACAGTATGTGTGAGAGGAAAGGAGGAGGGGGGGGGGGAGGTGTGTGTTCATGCGATTATACAGCAGTGCTTTAGGCTTATGTGCTACCTTACCTCAACCCTCCTTTTCCTTCCTATCAAGAAGGCCATACTTTTCTCCGAGGGTCTAAAGAAGCAACATGTAATATACAGATGCAAGCAACTACAGCACTGCTATGATTGAAAATTGTGTGATGTGAAATTACTTTTTGTGAACAGTTTATGTTAAGAAATGGTGCCACACGTATACCTATATTGGTGAGGTTGAAATGGACAAACCCACGATGGGTGGGGCCTTCATAAAGGGAAAAAATCCGATGGGGTGCATGCAGAAGGCAGGATGTGACTTTTAATCCCTTACATTATTCGAGTAATTGTGTTCCTGAATTCCTTCTTTGTTTTCTTGTTTACAAACTTCGCAGGATGAAGGTGGGGAAGGGTAGGGCGTCGCGCGAATAAAGGCGAGGGGCATGTGGGGGAAAAAAAAGGCTTCGCAGCGGCCTCTGGGGGGCTCGAGGGTCGACATGCTCTGCGGCGTGTTCCTACAACGACGGACGTGCGCGAGGCGGGCTGCCCCGTTTCCGGTCTGGACCCATTTCCTCTACTTCAACGGCGCACCTGGAGAACCTCTCTGCAGAGGCCCGGGAAGACACCGACACACAGCCAAGCAGGGCGCCACGTCAACGCAGCGGGTCCCTTTCTACCGTCCCAGATTGCCATCACTAAGCCTGTACAGCCCCCGAAGGTTACAGAGCAAAAGCTCCGGCTCACCAAATCCTTGCGCACCCCGGTAAGCCGGTGGCAGGTGGTGATATTCGAATCCGATCTCCAATGAATGATATGTTATGTTTGATGCACTCATCACGTCCGTGTGGCTCAATGGAAGAGTGTCTGACTACGGATCAGAGGGTTGCAGGTTCGAATCCTGTCACGGATGCTTTTTTGCATTCAAAAAAAAAACTATCCGGGCATGATCATGGCCGGGGGGTTTCGCGCGTGCGTCCAGCGATTGAATACCACACAACCACCATTTCCATCAAAGCCCATCGGTTTCTCCCTTGACAGTGTTAATCCTTGCATTTGCGTGTAAAGGAGAGCTTCCTACTGTTGAAGCGAAAATCGCAAAGAACAACATTTGAAGTAACAAAAGGAAAGCGTAATTAACAAGGAAAACATATTATTTTCAGTCTCTCCAGAGAGCAAAAACGAGTTCAAAAATAACAACTGTAGGAAAATCTGGAAAGCAACCCAATGGGGAGACAGAACAAAACTCATCCGTATATATATATATATATATATATATATATATA